GAGCTAGCAGGAAAGGCAGAGGGGAGGGGGGGAGAGAGGAAGGAGGGTCGGAGGGAGGGGGGAATCAGGGGGGAAGGGGGGGGAGGAGGGAAGAGACGGAGGGGGTGGGGCGTGTTGCATGGACCAGGGGGCCCAGACCTGGAAGGGGAAATCCGAAGAGGGGGAGAGAAAAGCTAATCAGAGCCTCCAGGTCTCCAAGTTTCCAAAGAAAAATAACTAAGGTGCCATTGAGGACCTGTTGCACAGTGGTTGCAGCAGTGGGCCTGAAGCCAAGAAGACCTGAGTTCAAATGCAGCCTCAGACACTTAGTAGCTGTGTGACCCTGTGCAGGTCACTTCACCTCTGTCTGCCTCAGTTTCCTCATCCGTAAAATGGGGGTAATGACACCTATCTCCCAGGGTTGTTGTGAGATCAAATGAGATAATATATGTAAAGTGCTTCTTAAATCACTATATAAATGCTATTCTTATTATAGCTATTATTGAAATGGAGACTAAAGAAGTCCTTTGAAGGATACAATCTTTTCAAAACCCTGGACTTTGGGGATCATGGGCTTTTACCCCCTAGTCCCCTGAGTCTTGCAGGGCCCTACCACCCCCACGCCTCTACCCTAGGTTTCCTTGTGTTCACAAGGAGTCAGACAATTCCCAGCCTCCAGGGAAAGGGACAGGTTCAATACTTAAACCAGTTGACTCTCAGAGTATCCTATGTGTAATATTTCCTACTTCTTTTGGTAAAATCCACCACCATCTCTATTTCCATTCCCCATCTTTGCATAAAGACATAGGCCCAGAACCTAGAGGGAGCCCACAATAACTCAGAACCCAACCTATTATCCCTACAGCACCAAAGGCAGTGAAAAGAGCAGGGGATTGGCGAAAGTGGACCCCAGTTTGAATCAAGGCTCTCTCAGGTACTAGCTATGTGATCTCGAGTAAGGCACATAACATTTCTGGGCCTCATTTTATCATTTGTCAAACTAGGGAATCACAGTAGATGACTTTAAGGTCCCTTACAGCTGAGTTCACAAGAGGGTCAGGAAACACAGTCCCTGGGGTATCACTTAGAGCCTGGAGCTGTTACTGCACCCCTGCTGCTTTGACCCTGGCCACATGACCTCCTCATCTTCATCCTGTCTTAGCTGAGAGAACTGTAGGAATGTAGTGAACCACACTGACTCCATCTTGTGCCTCAAGTCTGGCGCTAGCTCAGTTCCCTTTCTTTCTCTTCATTGATGGGTCTAGTACATTAAGAAAACCTTATTCAATTGTGGGAATTGGGAGAAAACCTTATTGCATTGTTTGAACCTAGCCCTGTGTGGCTGGGAAGCTGGACCACATCTCCCTACTGCTTAGAGACCCTTAACCAAAGACCTAGGTAAGGCTGACCAGAAACCCTGTCAGATCCAAAAATAGGTGCAAGGAGTTTTCTCACAATTATACATCTTAAGCAACCCATATATCTTATCTGAAAACTGGCCCCATACAGATCAATCAGTGATTGTTTCCATGTTCCTTTGATTGGCCCCGGGGGAGTGGGACACCTCTTTTTCTGATTTCAGGGATTTGTACCTGTTTGCTCTCCCCCTCTCAACTGGGAAAGTCCCTAATCTTTCCTCCAATTAGAAATTAGATTATGAAAAAAAAAGAGAGAGAGAGAAATCAGATTACCTAATCTTGTATCTTGGTTTATACCCTGTCAATTATTTTCTTTTAATGCATAAAAATCTGTCTCCCCCTGTATTCGGGGTCCAGTGCCAATTTCAGGAGGCCTGTTCCCGATCTGTTATGCAATTGGCATGCTTTGCTTAATAAACTGATGTGCTCAGAAGCTTGAACTTTTGTTTCCTCAGTTATTTCAGATTTTGCTTGTCACATGGCCCAACCTGGATTCTAACCCAGGTTAGATTGATGAGGGCATCCCAGAGGGACCCTCATGAGGAGCTGGACAGAGGGACACTGGCAGTGCCTTGGTGGGAGGAATAAAGAGAAATGCAGGCTCAAGATGGCCCCCAGGGAAGGCAGGCACTTTTCCTAGGAGGAAGAGCAAGGAAACCTGCTACTCGAACCAACTTGGAACTTAGTGAATTACTGAGGAAGCCAGGGGCAGATTTATGGTGCCCTGCCCACTGCCCCTGCCCCAGCCATTCCCCTGTAAACGCCCCCATCCCACCCAAGAAGGCTTGATTTGGGGTCAGAGGACCCAGGCTCACCTTCTGGCCAAGGCTCCTAGCCTCTCTGAACCTCAGTTTCCTTATCTGTTAAATGGGGCTGGAGCCAGTGAAATGCCCTCTGAGGTCCCATCCTACTCTAAGTTTGATCCCTCCTTTTCCCTTCCAGGTCCTGTTAACACACCTGAAGTTGGTACCACAGGGTTCAATACTTACTAGTTCTCTAATTATGGGGAAAAGATAAGGAGTAGACCTGTGATTTCACTGGCATAGGGAACTGAGGAAACCTCTTTTACCAGCACAGCTCAGAACCTTGGCTGTGATTCGATGCTCAGAGAACAGACACTGAGGGGTCCCAGCCAGGGCTTCTTGGCTCCAAGGACAGCTCTGCCCATACTGCCATGTTAAATCAAATGGTTTCTTGGCTAGATCTTTAAAATCACTAAAGGCAGAGGAGAAAAACCCCATTTTGGTATGTTTTGTAATTTCCCAGGCTTCAGCTTAGGAAAAAGGAGGTCACAGACCCTGAAGCCATGCAGGGTGAGGCTCCTCAGCATCGCCATGGTCCCCTTCTTCCTACTGGTCACAGAAGGGCTAGAGGATCGAAGGCGAATCCTCCACCTCTGGTCTTAATCCCATTCTCCCCTGACACCTCCAGGACCCTGATCCCCACCTCATCCCCCCTCTCTCTCATTTACCTTCATTCTCTCCTTCCCATCTGCCTACAAATACACTCAGTCTCTCCCATCCTAAAAATGCCCACCCTTGACCCTTGACCCCATCCATCGACCACCTCTCTACTATTCCTTCCCCTTCACGGCTAAACCTGAAAGAGTTATTATCCCTAAGGCCTCCAAGTTCCTCATTATCCACTCCCTCTTCATCCCCTTAATACTGGTTTCCCTCCTACTCCCACGCTTTTGAAATTGCTCTTCTGATAATCATAAATGACCTCCTAATTGCCAAATCATCAGGCCTTTTTTTTTTTTTTTTAAAAGCAAACCTCATTGTCCTTGAGCAGTTTGGGATACTGTTCACCTACTGGATGGCCAGCTAGATGGCACTTCAGTGGAGAGAGTGATAGGACTGGAGTCTGGAAGACCTGAGCCCAAATCCGGCCCCAGACACTTCCTAGCTGTGTGACCCTGGGCAAGTCACTTCACCCTGTTTGCCTCAGTTTCCTCATCTGTAAAATGAGCTGCAGAAGGCAATGGCAAACCACTCCAGTATCTCTGCCAAGAAAACCCCAAATGGGGTCACGAAGAGTCAGGCACAACTGAAATGACTGAACAACAGCCAGTAGATACTCTTTCCTCCCCGGCTTCAGACACCACACATTCCTACTTCTCTAACTGACCATTCCTCTGTCTTTGCCGACTCTGTGCCTTTTTCTAGACCCTTTAATATTCCCTAAGGGCCTCTCCTTGGTCCTCCTCTCTTTCTCTTGACAATCCCATCCACTCCCAAATTCTGACTACCACTACTACGGAGATGACTCCCAAATATCTATCTCCAGTCCTGACGTCTCTTCTGAGCTCTAGACCCAAAGTTCAATCAGTCGACAAGCATTTATTAAGCTCCTGCCATATGCCAGGTAAGAGGTAGCATGGCCTAGTGAATAGAGAGCTATCTTCAGTCTGAAAGCCCTGGGTTCAAGTCCCACCCTGGCTACATCCTGCCTGTGTGATCCTCAGTGGCCATGGGAGTCTAAGTTGCAGAAAAGGTGCCAACCTGCTAGAGGGACTTTGCAGACAAAAGCAATTACAGACCCTGCCCTCAAGAGACTTAGAATCCATTAAGAGTGGGTCCATATAGAGGTATATCCAGAGTAGATGCAATGTGGGGTTTAGGAAAGGCCTTGTGTGCTTGGGCTGTGTTCATACTGAAGGACAGGAGGGATTTTAAGAGACAGAGGTGAACAGAGAGTGCCTTCCGGGCAGGGGTCTGTAGAAAGACAGGAAATGGAGGGCCATGTGTGAGTAACAGTGAGAAGGCTAATTTGACTGAATCATGGGTGAAAGGGAGTAAGGATGCAGGAAAAGTAGAGTGGGGCCAGGCTGTGAAGGGCCTTAAATGCCAGCAAGTTTTTATTTGCTTCTAGAGGTAATAGGGAGCCACTGGCGTTTATTGAGGAGAGCAATGACACTGCTGGGTAGAGGCTGGATTAGAGTAGGGCCACACTAGAGTCAGAAAGACCAAGCAATAGCCCAGGTGAGAAGTCACTGGCTCACATGACTAGAGCTGCAAGGACCCTCAGAAGCCAGCTAGTGCAGTCCCCTCATTTTATAGATGAGGAAACTGAGGTCCAGTGAAGTAAAATGACTAGCCCAAGGTCACACAGATAAGCATCAGAAGCAGGTTTTGAACCCAGGGCCTCTGAGTCCAGAGTCAGTGTATCTCTCCTAATGGCGATAAGGGTGAAGGAGGCCTCCCAGCTAGGGTGGTGGCTGTGTGGGAGAAGAAGAAGAGAAGGGGATGGATGCAGGAGATGTTGTGGAGGGAGAAACGAAACTGGGCAACTGACTGGCTATATATCCTCCCCTGACTGTGGGACACTTTCAACTTGGATATAACCACCACCGCAAATTCAACATGTACAAAACTGAACTCATTATTTTCCCCACTAAAGCTGTTTCTCTTCCAGACTCCATCATTTCGGTCTACAGCACTTGTCTCCCAGCTTCTAAACCTTCCCTCATATCCACTCTCAGGGACATCTCCTCCCCGTACCCACTGCCACCCCTCTGGGACAAGCCCTCATCCCCCCAGCTTGCA